AAATAATGAAAATTGCAAAATTAGAGCTAGAAATGTGTTTTTATAAGTTTAAAACGTTTTATTATTCTACAACAAGACCGAAAATTGCACAATTAGTTCTTTAACGTATAATTTTTGTTTACTTTGAGATTCAAAGCGTTTTTCACAGATGAACTAAATAAATTTGAGAGATCTCGTAAAACAAGATAGAAAATTGCAAAATTTAATCTAAAAATGGGCTATTTTGCATGTTTTTTAAAATTCAATGTAGAAATGTATTTTAAAATTTATTATTACGTAAGCATGTAGAAGTGTTTCACTGAAAATTTCACAAAAATTCGAAATATTTAACCAAAACTAAGCAGAAAGTTACAAAATTCATTCTGAAGTGCATTATTCATTATTTCTGCTCATTTCAGTAGATTTTAAAACGTTTTTCGCATTGAATTTTAAAATTTTCCGGAAAACTAAATAAAAAGTTGCAAAATTACATCAGAAAATGAGTTGTTTTGTAAATTTAGAACGTTTTCCACAGCGAAACTTTTTGAAGCCAAAATAAGGTAGTGGTTTCTGAAACTTTATCTAAAATGCTTTATTTCTGAGTTTAAAGAAAGTTTTTCACTGGAAAAATCACAAAATACGAAAAATTTTTCCACAAAACTGAAAATTCTAACGGTAAAACTTAGATTTTATTAAAACAAAGTAGAAAAGTTGTAAAATTAATTAATCGAAAATGGGTTATTTTCGCATGTTTTTTGAAACTTTAAGTAGAAATTTGTTCTGAAATCTTTTATTTTCTAAGCGTTTTTTTCCAAAATTTCACAAAACAATGAAAATATTTTACCAAAACCACGCAGAAAGTTACTTTTTTTTCTGAAATAAGTACTTGCGTTTTACGTTTTGAATTGAAAAAATTCAGCGAGAAACTCATAAAATTCGACAGATTTTGAATAGAAAATTACAAAATTAGATCGAAAATGCGTTATTTTAGAAAAAAAATGTAATCTTAAATACTTTATTTTCATTCACTTATAGCCAGAAATTTCCTGAAAACAAAGCAATGACTTTGGAAGTGTTTTTCATTGAGAAAGTCTGAATCAAGCCTGAAAATTGCATGTTTTGCTTATTTCACTAAATTTTATCGATTCTGAAACAATTTTGAAGAAAGCAGTAATTTCAATTGCTCAGTTTCACAATGTTCTGAAAACTCTCGTGATTCCTCTCCTGAAAAGTAAACATAATTCCGGTCAAAGCTTTTCCGCTTGCGGTGGTCCATTCTACGAATGAAGTAAATTCCATTTTGTCACATTTAATACATTAAAGGCCTTAAACTTTAATAAAATTGCATCCCTTATTCACGAAAAACTCATTTCGTTCATGTTCTAAATTGAGTTATTAATAATTTTGTCTTGTTTTCTGGTTGACCGCCGCCGACTGTATTTCTGATTCTCATTGAACTGTAAATTGGGTTTAATTCACGAATGAACGCATTTGTGTCATAAACATACGATTTGAGGCGATTATCCCAACATTCAAAGGATTATAATATAACACAGTTGATTAGTTGAGATGTGAGGAGAAGGAGTTTGCTTGCTTAAAATAATAAATGAAGTCATTTAATTTCAGAAAAACGAGAGAATTATAAATTCATTTCAGGACATTTCGCGTACAGATTTATCGACTTGAACCACTAATGGAACCACATATTGACTCAACTAACACTTTTTATGGTTCCAATAGATTGAATTTCGAAGCGTTATTCGACATCGAACCCGACATTGCAACTATTGTGTGCTTCGATACGATTTATTTGCACTGCTTTTAAAATCGCTGAAACTGAAAAAACTGTACCTCAATGATATAATATTTTGACGTAGACTTGTGTGAAATGTTCAGGGGAATCGATTGGCGTTAAGTAAACTGCAAAATTCCTAATAGTTTTGAAGTTATAGTCGGATTTATATTTTCCATACTTTTGACTTTATCACAAATTTTCTCGATAACTATTTATCGTAGAACACTGATCTTTTTTTTTATATGATAGAAAATTAAATTCGCTTTCCAACGGTACCAAACATAAGAGGTTATTACCAATAAGTCCGGAGTTATTGCCATTAGACTGCTCCGGGTGCCAAAAATCGACC